CCCCCTTCGCCCCCCATCCTTTTAAATTTCATACAGTGTCCCACGATTTTTTTCTGCTAGTCACTCTAAACGTCCCTACTTTTCAGCCTCTCTTCTATGTATGGGACAAGATTATTCTCTGGGTCCATTGTATCTAGTTTTAACATCTGCATTTCTAATTTCTAATCTTAATTAACATGGCATTTATGGGAGGGAGAGTAAAAAAAAAGTTCCTCATGGTCTTTGAGCATTGCAAACCTATAAATTATCATGCATATAATATATCTACCATATGGTGCTTAGACATTACTTGGTATTGTCAATTAAGGCATCGATATGCAGCTAGAAAATTAACTGTATCGTTTACATTATACTTGGGAACCCCTCTATAGAAGATGTCTAGAAAGATATGTTGCTTAACTAGTGATACTGTTGCACACCTTCTCAATGTTGTCTCATATAAAACTTAAACACACAGCATGACGGGGTGCATAACGAAGCACACTTTATTACTATACATGGGTCAACTACGTCATCATATGCATGTGAATATCATTAAGATCATTACAATAGGGACGAACTTAATGATCAATTTAATGGATTTTACAGCTACTTTTATACATCCATTTCTTATGGTACTGTTTTTACTTACCGCAGCTTTAAGAGTTAACCAATTGTCTTTACCCACGATGCGATATGATAAACAATTTTTTATAGCGACTCCTTCGAAGTCGGTAAATCCTAAGACMAATTATAAATATTACTGAAATATTTTATTCTTCAAGTCTCTCAGTCAGTCAGTCATGCAGCCATTAATTTGTTCATGCATAATTAGTTATTTTCGTTTCATTACCTGCCTCACTAGTTTGCGRTGGCGATGTTCTTTCTGCAACACATGGAATGGTAAAAAAAGTAATGCTAAATATGAATCAATATGAATAAAGAAATTTTAAATGATAGTAGTTATCACAAGGCTCAACACCAAATCTGACGATACTGACGCGGCCACACTTCGAGATGGTTTTTTTCCCTGCGACCATGATCTCACTATGTGTCCTATTCGTATGAAAGAAAATTCACTGCAAGCGATATAAATATACCTTTGTCACGAACGATCAATTTGAATACTTTTTTTTGTCGATAGTCTTGGTCAGAATCTTCGCGTACAATGGACATGTACGTATTGGTGTCGTTCAGCGACAGATTTGACAACAGAAACCAAGCATAGCCCTTATCTAGACTACCAACGAATGATACTCTTCCCTTGTAGTTTGCTGCTGGACCAACCAAATCATCTCCACAAGTTATCTTTTCTTTTCCTTCTGGAGTCATTGTTGCAGTTATAAACTTTGGAACTGGATAACCTTCATTTCCATCAAGACCGAACTTGGCACCTAGAATGGAGTTGTTACGTGACGTATTGAACTTGAAGGTTACGTCTTGTTTAACTACACCAGTCACTTCGGAAGAACTTGGTTTCTCACTGAAGACTATACAAGGAAGATCGAAAATAATAATCCAAAATAATCGATAACAAACGAAAATAAAATTATATATATAATTATATAATGATATAGTGCTAGGAAGATGATCACCATGTATTTCAAACTCAAGAAACTTTTACTACGCTCTACCGAACTGATGGTTTAACGAGGTTACCATAAATTATATATTCTAGTTGAGTAAATCAGCTCAGTAAGTGTGTTTGACTGGGCCTTGATGGCAAAGAAAATATTAATACCAATGAATTTAATGATATTAATGAATGATAAAGAGTTATAAAGGAATATACTTAAACGATCGAAATGTAAATATATATATATATACATATTATTATTTTTTGCTTAGCATCATATCGTTGGGTCTACGTACCTTCACGAATTAGAATCAATGTAACGAAAGRAAATATTAAACTACGGAGCGAAATTGTATTCTTTCTTGTCGAAGCCATCTGGTAGTCTTTGAAACAACATATAACTGCAACTCGGCTTTAAATGACACAAACTATATTGTTCAGTGGTTCTGGGGAATGTTGGCCCAACATCCGGACATTACGTAAAGTTATTTTAAGTCAGGGTCAATTATTGATTAAATGTTACGCATTCGAGAGACAAAATGCACTGTCATGCATTCGATCGACTCAAAAAGTAAATAAGGGGAAGCCCCTTTTTAGCAGCTATCAGATAACTTGCAAAAATCATTGCTTATATCTACTCTTTGCAAACAAAAATATGCCCATGACTACAAACTATTATAAATATATTTCTTTTTGATTGATTACAGATAGAACTATTAGAACCTAACAACCTACATTTCATCTGATAAACAGAACAAGGGGTTTTTCMACAGTTAGGGTTGACTTATTGATGCAAATTCCGGAAAGCTGTTAATATGACAGTTTTAATTGACCCCATTTTAAATG